ACAAGCTCAGCCATTTCAAGCTAACTTCAAGCTAACAGCCGTTTCGAGCTAACTAATAGTCGTTTCAAGGTAATTTCGAGCTACAAGCCATTTCAAACTAACTTCGAGCTAACAGCCGTTTCGCGCTTAGTTTGAGCGAGCGAACAGCCGTTTTGCACTTAGTTCGAGCTAACTAAGAGCCGTTTCGGGCTTAATTCGAGCTAGCTAAGTCAGTCTTGAGTAAACAGTCATTTTTAAGCCAAGTCGTTTCAAGTAAAGAGTCGCTACCTAGCTATGTCGTTATCTAACCACGTCATTTCAAGCAAACAGCCATCAACGTGTTAAGTTGCTTCGAGCAAACAGTCATTTCGAGCCATAGTCATTTCATGCCATAGTTGTGTCGAGCTAACAATCATCTTGAGCCAACAGTCATTTCCTAGCGTAGCCATTTTCCAACTAAGTCATTCCAAGCAGTCATCTTCTAGCTAATTTGGTTTGAGCTATAGTCGTTTGTTTCTTCTAAAGTCTTTCAAGCTAACAGTCTTTTCCTAGCTTTCGAGCAAAACTAGTTTTGAGCTAATCATTTCGAAACAACCCTGACACCCTATTCTGCAGTTATACAAAGAAGACTAATTGCAGGAAAATGGTCCCCGAAACTCTACTACCAGCATAACCCTCTCTCGGGTTACAGGCTTGCTTCGAAGAACTCAGCCACCGTCACAACAAGCACAACACGACCTCCCCGTCATTCAATCTCATCACCACTTCTCATTTCACCAACATGCCCACAGTGGCAATAAAACACACTCCACTGAAGTCCATCTTAGCGGAAGCACTGGCTTCTTTTCGAAACTTCCAAACGCATATATATATATATATACATATTATGGCAAATGATATTCAGACTTTCATTCCATATATTCAGACTTTCATTCCATATATTCAGACTTTCATTCCATATATTCAGACTTCCATTCCATATATTCAGACTTTCATTCCATATATTCAGACTTTCATTCCATATATTCAGACTGTCATTCCATATATTCAGACTTTCATTCCATATATTCAGACTTTCATTCCATATATTCAAGGTTCATTCCATATATTCAAGGTTCATTCCATATATTCAGACTTCCATTCCATATATTCAGACTTTCATTCCATATATTCAGACTTCCATTCCATATATTCAGACTTTCATTCCATATATTCAGACTTTCATTCCATATATTCAGACTTTCATTCCATATATTCAGACTTTCATTCCATATATTCAGACTTTCATTCCATATATTCAGACTTTCATTCCATATATTCAGACTTTCATTCCATATATTCAAGGTTCATTCCATATATTCAGACTTTCATTCCATATATTCAAGGTTCATTCCATATATTCAGACTTCCATTCCATATATTCAGACTTTCATTCCATATATTCAGACTTTCATTCCATATATTCAGACTTTCATTCCATATATTCAGACTTTCATTCCATATATTCAGACAGACAAACCATAAATATATATATTATTTCCTAAACGGCATGCCATAATATGTATATATATATATATATATATAGCCCAACTTCTTAGAGGCATTCAACGTCAAGAGACATTTCAAGACCCCGGCAGCTTTCCTCTTACAGCAGACTCTCTGTCCGGTCTGCATCCACACCATCTGCACCAGTTACAGCATCCCTCACTTGACTTGAACCTTAGCCGTCACTTCCACGCTCGCTCTCTTCGGTTTCATTTCACTGCATCTTTACTGCATCATTACTTCGGTCACTCCTCCAGGATCTGAGCTAACATTCAGGCTACTGCGGCGTCATTCCCGAGCATCAGATACCGATCATGCGCACCGGTCTTACAAAGTGTACCACCACTACACTAAGATCTCCAGATCCCAGATCACCCAATGTTCTCTCAAATAACTGGAAGCTTTTTGGGGGTCCGTCGTGCCCGGGTGCTACACCGGATTTCCCTATCGTAGCTTCCCCACAACGCTTTCTAATGTCTGTTCAGCTACTGCAAGCTTCATACATCTTCTGTTCATTAATCAATAAATCATTTAATCATACCTGTTGATTGTGGTCCTTGCTAGTGAATCAAAAATAAGAGAAATGCCTGAAGAAACACTTTAAGAAGATATCAAGTGTGAACAGACATCTACTGTATTTTCATTCACATTGATGCAGATTTTACAATAGGCACAATTTGAATTAATGTTATCATAAAATTGGGATACAGAATAACTCAGAGACAAATTGCAAATACTTGTAGTTAAGACACAAAACAAAACTTCCCGAAGGCCCAAAAATGCACAACAAAGAAACATTATTATTTTTCATGTGGACATGTCTCTTTACAGTCCATTATTTTTTGACTTCTTATAAATCTTCAGTCTAGCAAGAGTTTAAGAAATGTCTTAAAATGCAAATATGTGGTAAATCTAGTAGGTGAAGACTAACAGAGATAAAGAAGCATGTGTTGATGTCGATTTTCACATGAATGAATACAAGAATAGCTCGAAGAGCCTCAGTTGTCCTTACTGAAGGGCCTTTCTGAAGGGCTCTGTGGCACCTCTTGTAAAACCACAAATCAAGCCACTTATTGGAAGTTCTTCTTAACCCATAGATACCTTCTTCACCGCTAAATTCATTAATTTGGTAAAACATTACTCATATACGCACATATTCATCTATGGCTGAATTAAAGTTCTGTTGTTGCTGTTTTGTCTTTTAATCTGTACCCCATTTAAGTTAGACTGCCATCTATTTGTGTTCAAGATGAAAATAGTGAACTATCATTAGATGGCAGATTGGATTTTCATGAGCTTTGTATTTACATTATTACCTACAGTTGATTTATGAAGAATTGTGTAAAAGCTTTGATGCAAAGTGTAAAAGGGATAACTTCCCCTTTTACTGGGGGCCAAATATTTCTGTTGCAGTGCCTGATTTGGCCCACAAGCCACTATTTGCCTACCACCACAAGGCCTAACATGATATTAGATAATTAAAGTGTTTTATTTACCTAGCACTGACCACAATTATTTATCCCTCCTGAATTCATTTAACCACAAGACCTACTGAGGTTGGAAACCCCTTTTGTAAGAGAGCTGAGTGGCAGCAATAAAAATTGCATACAAAGCAATGCAAAACCAGACATATAGAACAATAATAATAACAAAGAGCGGACACAATAAAAAATGGAGGCATTTACCATAGACTTAACAATGGTCTTTAATTCTGTCAGAAATATCATGTTTAATTGATTATGCTTAATCACGCTGATGATACATAATATTTGTTCTTACATAATATGCATCATATACTGTATGTATCTCCAAAAACACTTTTCAATTTAAGATATGTCAGGAGTCACAGTGATACAAAGAGCTCACCAATGGTCTCAGCTTCTCTGCTCTCCAATGACTAAAGATAACTACCCTTGTGGCTGAGTCAGACTGCACACATCTGGCAAGTGGGAAAGAAACAAGTGAGAGAGAGAGAGAGCGGGACAGTTTGGATTATAGATTGGGAGAGAAGCTGTAGAGTGCTGTGTCTGAGAAAAGAAGATTTATTAAAGGTTTTAGATTAGAATAATGCATCATTTAAATACACAAAATCACATTGCAATGAGTGGCAGCAATGCAAAAAGGAAAACTATTTCAGCCTAATGAGGCAATGAGGAAGGAAATATAGCTGGGATACTGTATATTGCTAAAAGTTGATAAAACATTAATAACAGTCTGATTTAGTCATAATGTATATAATGTATTACATTAAAGTATTAAATACAATAAAGCTAGATATATTATATTCTTAGTTCACATTCCAAATGGCTTATGTGATGTTGTTAAAAGACAACTATACACTGCTATATTTGTCAATCTGTTTCTTTTTTTTTAACACGTGAGGTATTTGGTTTAGATTTTCTCTGCGGCATGTGTGTGTATACATTACACCGACTATTCCCACACAGCCTGCATACCAGCAACCAGACACCAGGGCAGGGACTGACCAAAAGGTAGCTGTGCATCCTAATTCAAAGCTTGTAAGAGTTGGACCTCTTAATGATAAGATAAAAGGAATTATCTAGTCAGTATAGTCACCATTGATGTTTTGTCCTCAACCAACACTTTGACTGATCATGTTTCTATTACATGTGTGTGCATACTAATAGATCACCAGTGTAGATTGCAGTCCGACTCATTCATCATTCCTGACAGAGAGCAGATGGTCACACACGTGTACCTTTGAATCTCTGCCAACATCCAGGTCGAATCTGGGATTTGCTGACAACACCTATTGATTCTCAGTTACCACCACGGGTACTCTACATTTGAAGAAAGTTGTCTGTTACAGAGTCAAGGACAGTGGAAGGTGAGAGGTGACAAGATGGGCGTTCACATGGGCTTAATAGCCCCTTCTGCTGATGTAGCATTAGGTGATGCATATTACTGTATTTGACATTGATAGATGGATGGATGGATGGATGGATGGATGGATGGAAGAAAGCAAGAGGCAGGACAAAGACTCACGTGGAAGAGCACATGTCCTTCTCAGCCGTTGCTGTTATGAAGGCATGATGGCAAAAGAAGAAGGGAAGGAGAAGTGTCACACATTTTAAATACCTGAAGAGAAAAAATAACGTGAGATGCAAGGTTGTCATATTGTTCTCCTGTCAAAATAAAAATCTATTCTCACAGTTATATTATGGGGACTCATCTACCATCAGAAAAAACAGCCGGCCCCTACAAGGTTACTATTTAGTTTTTTAAAGATCTATGGTCAAAGTCTGTGTGTTTATGTTTGTGTGTTTGTAGGTATGTGCATGTGTGTATGAGCTGCAGGGACATGTTTTTTTCTGTGTGTGTTTCCTGTATTATGCACATACCAGAAAGTACACCACAAACCTACATGGTCAATATCTCATGATGCTAAAATAAGGATAAAACAATAAAAAAGGAAAATTCATATATATTACAATACATTCATTTTATATTCGGTGTAATTGCTATAATAAAATAGTACAGTTTATGTAATGAAACATTTTGTGCAAAGGCAACACATAAGAAATTTTTATCTGAATATTTCAAGTGTAGTGTGGACAGCTTGCTGCACTTCCATAATTGTCCACTAGACAGCCTTATACATCCACGTTTATCTCAATGCCACACCTTAGACACATCCTAAAGATAAAAAAACTTAAACATATTCTGAACTGTTTTCAAATACATACTTGTGTACATTTTTATGTCTGTTAACAGACTTTTATACATGCAAGATTTTATTGGCTAACTTTTCATTTTAAAATAATAGTACTTTGTGGGATAATCACCGGAATCAGAAACAATCCTTCTTATGACTTTTATTTTTCCTCAGGAATGCAGGAAATTCTATTTGTTGATATCATGAGCAGTTTGTGCCCATGACAAGAATTTAAAATAACATTTTCCTTACAAAAACCCCTAACAAACATACACAGTTTCATTTTAACATGAGGTACCCACAGACTGGACTATGGCATTTGAAAATTTGCAAGCTGTCATTACTGAAATTATTCTTGAGCTCTTCTTTATTTTCTAATTCACAGCATTTTAGATCATAATGTGATGGTAGTTATTTATCTTAACTACACATAACACATGTAACACATATGTACCATGTTTTGTGATGGAATAAAGGAACAAATAAAATGTGTATGTTAAATGCAAATACATTCATAATATCTGACCAAAAATACAAATAGTGTGTCAAAAAAAGCTGAACTGAAACCACAGTCAAATATTATTTTCCTAATCACACATTATTTAAATGATGCATGGCATCACCTTTGCATTTAAATCCCTTTATTTTCTTTGGACTTGTCTGGGGGAGGTTTCACAATGGTGGTGTTAAATACTCCACCATGGAACAGCTGTTCTCCATGAGTCACTGCTGATAAAGGGTATATGCTGATGTTATTAAAGTACCTTGATAGCAGAGATGTGCAGTACAAGCAAAGCAAACTGTCATTTTAAACAAGGGGGTGGGCAGACATAATAATGGTAACACAGATCTGCAATTGGGAATGATCAACTTTGAAGCCTATTTTGGTAGCCAATTAAGACCCAATATGCAACTTACACAAGTGAGATACACAATACTGAGAACATTTGACCTACTGTGAAAATATAGGAGACTTGTATCAAGCAGTTTAAAAAATATTTGCATTTTTAACAGATGTTGGATTTCTCAATGAGGGAGAAGGTGAGGATGTAATCTTTACATTTTAAAGGGGGTAACTTCACTTTTTTTGTGGAAAAATTATTATTCAAAGCAGAGTAATTTAAAGATTCATGTGTTCATTAGAAATGTATGGGCTTGGAGCAGAGTGCCACAGACAAGGTATCAGAAAGCTCTGAGAGACAGACTAACCCATTTTTGTTTTGGGTCTTTTATATAGAATATAGAATATACATAGATCTACATTTATTTAAATAGACCTACAGCTGACATCATTTTTGAAACAGTTTCTGCAATTGTGTAAACTTTTTATTATTGACTATTCTCCTCTGTTTAATGTATAACTGTCTTGTGCTTTATTTAACCTACACCACACCATCATCTTTGCTTCTCTTCTTAACCTGGAAGAAGAGAACAACCTGATTGACATTTGCCTTCCCCGTTCTAGTAATGAAGCAGTAAAGGAGAGGGTCTGCAAGGCAGTTCAGGCTCGAGATAGCTGTGCTGATCTTGTACGGATAGAGAAGCCACGCAACATTCCTGCAGTCATCCACTAGTGTGCGGAGAAGCATAAGGACGTGAATAGGTCCGAAGCAGAACAAAAGGCAGAGCAGGACAACTGTCAGCAGCTTTGAAATCCGTTTACGTTCCTGTTCCTCTGTGGCCTGGTTGGATTTCACTGCCTCACAGATCCCCCAGGTGGAAAACATCAGCAGGAGAATGGGAACAATAAAGCCCAGGAAGAAACGTGCTATATTAGCCCGAGCCAAGGTTTCTGACAGTGGGACGAAGATATCAAAACACACCGAAGACTTGTTGTTTTCATGGTATGAGTCCTCCCAGGTGATGGTGGTGGCATTGAAACAGACCACCAACACCCAAATGGAAGCGCTGATTACTGCTGCAGTGCCAACTTTCCTCAAGAAAGTGTACTTTAATGGGTGAACCACTGCCAGGTAGCGGTCAACAGCAATGCAGCAGAGGAGAGCATCGCTGGTGTAAAAGTTAGTGAAGAGAAAGTAGACAGATAGCACACAAACGTAGCCACCGTGGGCCCAAACACCTGTCCACAGAAAGTGCAGCCACAGAGAGAGGACGATGGTAAAGGTCAGGTCACTCAGGGCCAGGTTGAACAGATACACACCCAGCTCGTTCTTCTGTCTAATGTGCTGCCAGGACACGTAGAGGGAGAAGACGTTGGATGGGATGGCAGTGACGATGATGGCCAGGTAGAAAAATAGAAACGGCTTCCTCCTGGATGAGCTATCAGCCGAGTAACATTCTGAATGATTGGTGGCCAGGGTTAAGTTTTCCATTGCAGATGTGGCGTTCATATGCTCACACCTTGCAGAGAAACATGGAAGGAACAAAGGAAGGAATACAACAATGCATATGAATACCTAAACCTTAGGGGCGCTCTACACATTAAGTTCAGTTTACTCATCAGGGAGTTCAATTAAATAATGTCTTCTGTGGCTTTGTGAGCTTAAAATTAAACTCTTATGTAGTTAGTAAGTATTTTGATTTGGTGACAACAAACTGGGAGTGTGAAGTTTGAAAGACATGGCAGTTAGCAGTCAGTGAGAATCTTTTTAAAAGATGCAACTGAGCTGCAATATGGGAAATGTAGGATTTAGACTTGACCCATGCTTGAGAGTGAAAGTCAGGATATCTCAGCCTCTGCTGTTTTTATTTTTTTACCAGTCTCATGTGAGCCACCCAACTTCAGGGAAGTGACATACTAAATCACTGGGGTCACCCTTAAAAATATCACACAAGGAAGTTTGCTCATTTCAGCAAGTGAATCACAAATAACATTACCTCACACTGATGAACATTTTCATGGCAAAGTCTTGAAATTTGTTTCCTCCTTCCAGGAAACCTTTCGTTTCAGTAAATTTCAGTAGATTTGGAAAATCAGCTTGCACAATTTAGTAACTTAAAGTCCAGACTGGTCATCTATCAGTGTGACAATTTAATCTGCTTTCTGTTTTGTCAAAGCTACTTCATTTGTCAACAGCTCAGTCTGCCTAAATTCAAAACTTATGTAGCCAGTTCTTAAATTTCTGATGTTGCACTTTTTTTGCCTGCACCAACACTGAAGGAGGTCATTTTACAACGCGTCCTGCTGGCAAATGCATTACAACATAACAGCAATGTTACAAAAACAATTATTGATCAGACGTTAACTGTAATGGATTATCTATTGTAAAACAAGTGTCAAGTCTAAATGTAGGTTGTTGGGGGTTTTTTACACTTTGCTGAAATGAATGTTAACTAGTGACCTCCTGGAAGATGGGATATCAATTAAAAAACTTCCATCCTTTGAAGTGCATTAGCTAGAATGGACCTATACAATATAAATGGGCTAAAACATGAAAAATCTGTGTGTCAACCATAAACATTAAAAGTATTTTATAAGGAAAAGCACAATTCAACTCAGATGAAGTTGTACTTACTCTTTATTCAGTTGTAATTCTGCTCCAAATTCTGTCCATAAAATTCATTATTATTCAAATGAAAACATTAAAACACATGCAGAGTTGACTCATTCAGTTGTGAGGTCTTCCACTGCTTAATCAGTCAGCTTTAAGGAACAGGAAGAGTATGCAGCTGCCTCCTTTTTGTCCCTGACTACCGTATGCAATGTACTGGGTGACAGGCCATGACAGAACAAACTACCGGTGTTAGAGGCCCACATGGTAGATTTAATTAGGGTACTAAGTCTATATGAGACTGCTTGTCTTTATGTGGTGTGTCAATATTGACATGGACTCAGGTAAAGGTAATGCTGATTTTTGTCTGATAAAGGAATACATATCAGCTTGACTAATTGTTTCCATAGCGCAGTTATGTTGTTATGGCTGGTTGTTATGTTTGTTATGGCAGTGCCTACGTGCTCCTTTTTTTTAGTCTGCCTTAAAAACAATGCTCACATGTCCATTATGTGCATTGAAAGTGTCACTGGTTGCTGTAATTGTTCCTTCTGTCCATATACTGAGATCCCTTTTTAAAGCAATTTCAGCATTATGATGGGGAACAAAATCCACAGTTCCCGTTCTTTGTAAAAATCAAAGGTTCAGCCAAAGTTAATATGAGGCTCCAGCAAAGTTAATAAAATAAAATAAATATATAAAATGGAGATCTTCCAAAGTCACAAAGTCTTTTCAGTACCACATTTCTTCTTTGTGTTACTATCGCTCCGCTGTGGCTCAGCAAACAAACCCTGTCTGTGGAAGCACGAATTAGGTATTTTGGACTAATAAGACCAATTTCCCTTTTAATGTACATATAATGTGGCAAATACATCAAATAATGTGGCATATACATCCACTAAGATAGACTTGAAAAATGTGAACAGATCCTTTCATGCAATAATGCACCAGAAAAGACAATCTGTTAAGAATTATATATGTAAATGTGACCTTGTTTACACCACAGAAAACAGTTGTACATGACAGTAATAAAAAAGATGATTTGTCCCAACAAAATGTCAATACAAGGCAACATAACAATGTCAGTAAAAAGGCATCAGAATCTGAACACTAAGTTTCCACCTCGTAAATTACACAGTCCCAGTCATTTGTTTTCTATTTGGTTTGCACTTGTATGTTAAAAATAAAAAAAGTTCAGTTCCCTGACTGAATTCCAATAGAGCTCCTTGACCAAATCCATTCATAAAAATTCATTTACCTTTCTTGGGAGCTTTCCTAATCTATTTCTGAGCACTCTCATTGATTGAACAGTATATTATAGGATCCAGTGTACTGGTGATCGTGACAACTGTGACCAGGTATGGATCTCTGAGCCTCATAGCCCAACCCACGACCTGGCTTCTTCTTGTGTCATGGTTATTCTCGCCTCACATAAGTATTTTGAGGAGAAGGCTTGCAGCACCCCCGTGTGGTAAAGCAAGATAATGTGGATGGCAAGCTCCAAAGTCCCACAGCAGTACTCAAAACTGCAGCTGTCCGCACCACTCTGACCCAGTGAAAGTGGAGAGATGATAGACCAATGTTAGGAAGTGATCAAGGGATATTTTAAGTTCACTTTTAATGCATATTTTGTCTGATAATACTGCTAAATGGGGTTTTAAATGCAAGACTTTTAGTTATAATGGAGTATTTTTCTAACCCTGACCCTACTTTTTGAAGTTGAATAGCATGTATTTGCATGCATATAATTTACTGCTGTCAGTGCCATTGTGGTGCTGGGAATGATTTTCTTAGTTCAGTTGTGTTTCCATCCATCCATCCATCCATCATCAACCGCTTATCCTGCGTACAGGGTCGCGGGGGGCTGGAGCCAATCCCAGCTGACATCAGGCGAAAGGGGTCCAGGGGTACACCCTGGACAGGTCGCCAGTCCATCGCAGGGCCACACATAGACAAACTAGTTGTGTTTCATAAAGTTGAAATGTGGCAAAGCATTGTGCTTGTGTTGAGACAAGACAGGCACAGACAGCTTGCTAAGCAGCACTTCAACTGGAACTGGAACAAGAATCTGTTGACGCTAAGAATGGTTTCCACTGAAAGGACACAAACATGTTCTTCCATGTTTAGTCTAATATTTAGAGATCACAGCTCACCAAATAAAGGCTTGTTAGAGGTGCTGGAGCTGTGATTCAATGTAAAAATAGGAAAGACATCAACCCACTCCGATCTGTACAACATGTGTGCAACACTGGAAATCAATGAAATATTATGGGAAAAGGGTTGGCTTTATTTTATATTTTAATAAGGATGGATGCATGCGCTTGTGGTTTCTAACAACACAATACACTGTACACTTTAATACAGACATATTTCAACAAATACTAGGAGAGGCTAACTTGACGACATAAACAATGTTTAATCTTACTGAACAAAGTCGTGACACTGTTCTGTGATGTGCTAAATCAAATAGAAACTCCTCTGAGCCTGAGAGCATCAAAAGAGTATTTCATCAATTTAGCATTGCCCTTCTTTGTAACATGTAAATATGTTTACTCAAGTACTGTACAGTACAAATTTGAGGGACTTTACTTGAGTATTTTCATTTTATGCAGCTATCCCTCCCACCCTACCCAATTAGCTGGACACAAAGCTGAAAACAAGGCTCATTAAAAGTTGACCTTTTACAGATATGTAGTTCTCACAGAACAGCAACGTTATAGTCTTATAAAATATGATGCATTACTTTAGATATAACTACCCAACAATATATAAAGTAGTTAAAATAAGCACAAACCTACAGAAGTAATATGCAATATACTCATTAATGCAGCAGTATTCAGGAAAACATTATATATAATAGTAAAACAATGACAGTGACCAATTTATTGTGGAATGTGTACTTCAACTTTTGTTAGTTTAAGTAATTTAAATGTACTTAAATAAGGTTTTGAATGCAGGTACGACTTTTACTTAAAAGTACAATGTGTAATTCCTGGCCACGTGTTCCAAACAGATATTTTACCTCCTCCTCCCCCTCAGCAATTCTAATCTCTAAAAAAAAATTCTGCTGCTCTGCTTTTGTCTGATCACATGTTAAGATTAGAGCTGCTCTTTATAATAACCTCTTGAATTAAGCTTTGTACATCTACATGGATTAGTTGGCGTCGCTTTGTCTGTAACAATAAAGTTATGCCACTTGAGGCAATTTATCATATTTCACACTGCTCCTTCTGGAGGCACAAAAGGCTTCATACAACTTTTTTTCACATATGCAATGGTACTCCCAAAACTTGTAAACAGACGTTGATGTGTAAAATCAGCACACTTCCCAATTTTAATATTAATCTGTTTTTTGTTTTTTTTATCACATACTTTCACACTTTTGGTTATACTTCCTATTGACACTAAAAGATTGCACTCACCATGTTACTTGCTAAGATCTGGGGACACTGAATTGGTGAAAATGCTTCTGGGGACTTGGAAGAACCATGAGCTGTTAAACAATCATAGAAATTTTAAACAAATAACGTGATGTGATAGTTTACACACTGACTTGTTCTACCAACATTGCTGTGTGTGCATACAGGTTTCCTATGCAAGGGATAATAACTCACGTTTACTTCCAAATAAAGTGTCTTGTAATCTGTAATCTGACTACAGCCCTGGCTTGTTTATAACCTTCCTGATTGGCCGCTGTTGCAGCGATGACACTGTGTTCCCAGATCTCAGTAATTAAATTGGAGAGATAAGTTACAATAACACAGAAAATACATCTATGAAAACAAGAACCGAGATGTAATACCAAAAAGCTTTGTATATATTTGTGTCATGTTGAACAGCATGTCAACAGCATGTCTGTAAAAATTCACATAGGTGAAAGTTTATTCGTATACTGTGGATAAGCAAAAGGTAAAGTCTTTTGAACCTCAGGTGATACTTGAAATTGATTAAGCAAATAGTTTCACAATTGAAACATAGAGG